TGGAAATGTATGGATCGCCCAAAATGTAAGTAATACACAATATTCCATCAAATTATTCAAGCAGAGATGCAAAGACATTTATCAACAGGACTGGTATAATGAAATAACGTCATCAACCTGTGTCAACTTTTATTCAGAATATAAATATTGTATTAATACAGAAATTTACCTTTCAAAGATTAAATCACCACAACTTAAGCGTACGCTTACTAAATTTAGATGTAACGCTTACAACTTCAAAGTCCAAGCGGCGCGATTTGCCAAAACTTCAAATGCAATAGATATCCAATGTCCATTCTGCAATTTATCGCAAGAAGATGAGTACCATGTATTACTTGTATGCCCGAAATATTTAGAAATAAGAGAAACATATATGCCTTATTTTTTCTATAACCAACCGTCGAGACATAAATTCTGTATGCTACTTCGCACAGAAAACATTGACTTGTTGTTTAAGCTAGCCCTTGTGTTGCACCACATACTTATGTTGAGAGAAAAAATGTAAATTGTGAATGGGTGTTTATGGATTTATTGATGTTCCTATAACTCGCGTATTTACAGGTTGCGCATAAATGCACTGCTATTATTGTACACATGTACTATTGGCCTCAGGGCCACATATACAAATAAATATGTCTGTCTGTCTGTCTGTATCCCGATCAGTAATGCTTTAGAACAAACTATATCCCGATCAGTAATGGTTTAGAACAAACAACATCCCGATCAGTAATGATTTAGAACAAACAGAAGCCCGATCAGTAATGCTTTAGAACAAACTATATCCCGATCAGTAATGGTTTAGAACAAACAACATCCCGATCAATAATGCTTTAGAACAAACAACATCCCGATCAATAATGCTTTAGAACAAACAGTAGCCCGATCAGTAATGGCTTAGAACAAACAACATCCCGATCAATAATGCTTTAGAACAAACAGTAGCCCGATCAGTAATGGTTTAGAACAAACAACATCCCGATCAATAATGCTTTAGAACAAACAGTATCCCGATCAGTAATGATTTAGAACAAACAGTATCCCGATCAGTAATGCTTTAGGACAAACAACATCCCGATCAGTAATGCTTTAGAACAAACGATATCCCGATCAATAATGCTTTAGAACAAACAGTATCCCGATCAGTAATGGTTTAGAACAAACAACATCCCGATCAATAATGCTTTAGAACAAACAGTATCCCGATCAGTAATGCTTTAGAACAAACAACATCCCGATCAATAATGCTTTAGAACAAACAGTAGCCCGATCAGTAATGGTTTAGAACAATATCCCGATCACAAAGGTTTTGAAAAGTAGGCCCCAGAAAAGCAAATGATAAAAGTAGACAATGCACCAAATAGCAAATGTGTACAACAAACAAGACCAGGGTCAGATAAGAAGAATGGTTTAAAACAAACAACACCAAGCAGTTGTGGTTAAGTATAACGAGTATAAGCAGAAACAATGCCATAAAACAAACTATACCACGAGCGGTAATGCTTCACGAACAAATATTCCTGCTGCACCAGTGATTCAGAACAAACACTATATCATGCAGCAAGTTATAATAAATTGAACCACATAATCTTATCTGCTAAGAGATATATTTACACTTGCTCTTTGACAAAAACAATTCCAAAAGTTGATAATTACTTAAGGATATTGAAAGACATATTTACCACTGAATCATTCATGTCCAGAAGAAATAATAATGTTGAAAGCCTTTTAGCAAAATGGTTTCCTCTCATCCCTGAATTTAACCCTGAATGACTATTAAACAAAAACATATCACTGATATTGATATTCAGTGTACTTAGTGTACTATATCGCTATTGAGCCCACTAGCTGCTATGTGCACATATTCCTCTATATGCTTGTACTCATCATATTTTTATACTCATCACATTGGGAACAATAAAAAAATAATTAAAAAAGATATAAAAAAACAACAACAAAAAAACAGCTATAATAAATTATGTATTTAGAATTGCAGAGAAGTAGAGTAAACACAAAATATAGGCTGAACTGCCAATGTTTATACCAAACAAGACCTGGACCAGTAACGGATCACAACAGAAATATTACAAGCAACAGCAAAGAACAAATGAAATAGATTTCGCTGACTTGGTTGACACATGTCATCCTTTCCCAATTGTGTAGATCGATGCGCGTTCTGTTGATCACTGGATTGTCTGGTCCAAACTCGCTTATTTACAGACCGCTGCCATATAGCTGGGATATTGCTGAGTGTGGCGTCAAACAACAAGCCAACCTACCAATCCAATGATATCACGGCGTGCTGCTTCGAAGTGATGCAAAATGTTTACCACTTCACAGAAACTCGTGATGAGCAAACTTCCTGTGGTGAGTGCTGGGTAACGTCGACATAGGGACAGAATTTTGGTTCTTAAGGGCACTGTTTCCACCTCTTCGACCCTTTACATTATATAAACGGATGGTAGAACGGGCCCCGTTTCTCTCATAGGGTGGCCATGTCACGCCCTGTGCATTTAATATAACGTGTTGCACAAATGTATTAAGTTATCAAATCTTTCCGTAAGATGTCTTGGCTAAATGTTGCTTCCCTTGAATTTCAAATGAGTATTTTCAATTTTATTTGCCTTGTGTCCTATGCCCAGAGGCAGTAGTTCATGGGCCAATCTTGCGGAGTAATTACTTTATGATTATTCTTTTGAAGTATATCATCCAGGTGTCCTTGTTGCAGTACGAAAGTACGAAAACCACCTGTAATTAGCATTTTCGTTATAATACTCTGTGGTGGGTGGGGAGCCTGGATGATGAATCATTATACCAACAATCATGGATGATGAAATCCACTGATTACTGGCACGTTTCCTTGTTATTGAAACTCTTTGTTCGACTCCTTTGAAAATAAATCCTATCGCACCTTGTTTAGTTTCTACAGCATAGCAGGAGAACTTAAAAAACATTAAACGCTTGTGCATAGCATGTTTATTAATCGAATTCAATAGAAAATAACAAGCGACCAACCTGCTATCAGCTGATATGTTTGTGGAAGACTCGTTTCTGGTCTCTGCTCACAGACTATTCAAACAAACACAAACCTCATTCTGTGATCAAGGTAGGTAATTATAAAAGAAAAAGCGCAAATTGCTTGTGTAGTCATTCATCGTTTCGAAAAGAATGTCCAATCTGCAAAAAGCAAATGGAAATAAATAAAATCTAATTAATCAGAAGCATCAGTTTTGCTGAAGCTAAACAAATTTTATAACCCACTGAACACACTGAAACCTACGCCTCCGTCAGCAGGAAAACATCTCAATAGAAATTACTTCACCAGTGATCACTTGGTCAAACAGCCAGACAGACAGACCTAGCATGGGTGAATGCAGATATTCCGAAACTTTACCCTTATGAACAGTCCACAAAGACATCTACATTCCCTCCAACACAACAGAACATATCTCGGGAAATATATCCTACTCCTAAAATTCGATCTCAATCTGAAAGAAATGACAAACTGTAAAATCGAAAATCAAACCATGAACAGCATCTTCCAAACAAATCGAGCCCCTAACTGGCCAGATAAATTAAAATTGTTTAATAAGTTTGGAAGTCACATAACATCAATCCTTGGGAACATAGCTTGTCCCACCACAAATGTGCTGGGTAGATCGTCAATTTATCCTCCCAAACGACAGGTTATTATAACAATTTTGTGCAGTTTAATTGTAGAGGACGAAGGACTAATTTCAATTATTTTAACTTTCTAAACGAATTTGAATGTTTAGTCCAAAATGACCCTTGTGGAAGTGAGCATTGGCATACTAGACTTTCGGGAGTGTATCCACGTGAGGCTCAACACATGTATCAAAACTGCGGAATATGGCGCAGAGCATATAATAGATCAAAACCTGGTGTTCACCATCTTGAGAAGTGTAACAGACCTTTAACTAATTAAACTGGCATAGCAAATTAAACTCATCAAATTATACGCCGAAATTCCGAACATTTAAAGCAAAGGGAAAAAACAGTTTTGCTTCCGATATATGGTGATGACTTCAATGAAGGTTGTTTCATATCATGACCTACATATAGCATTATGGCAGGCATCAAGCTGTTTTAAAACAGATAGAATAGTGAAGAATAGTGGCACGTGCTGTGTGGGGCCTGGCATTATCTTACAGACAACTCCCGTCCAGTGGTCAAGATCGGAACCATGTGAATCCTTAAGATTGTGTTTCTACCGAATAGCAGTCAACTTGCCCTGAATGCGCACAAAGTTAGATTTCTGTTTGAAGGATACGCTCCCTATACTTGACGCTATCACCGCCATACCGATCAACCTGGGCTACACAATTCTGGGCAAATGGTTCATTCGACGTATTCTTCCGCCACGGCACTGAGGCAGAAAGCGTGATCGTCACTGAACCAGTTTTGTAGATTCCAGAATTGAACATTATTGCACCACTGGACCCGTCGACGTCGATGTAGTCGTGGCAGCACAGGGCCAAAATGGGGTCTTCTGGCTCGAAGTTCAGGTCAGGATTCCTCAGAACTGCACGTACATATATATTGCTAACCATCTTTTCTTCATGACATTTTCATGCAAGTTGACACTTTCGAAAGTAAACGTGCATTAATGTTTCCGAAGATGCGTTTTTGCGCTATGCATGCGTTCCATGTACACAAAGCAGCATTATAATGGCGAAGGTATAACGATTTAACACTAATTTTGAAACATATTTGACATTTTATTTATCAATATGACCTACGCGTTTCTATTTTGGGAGAGAATACTTGCAAAAGTCTTTGCAAGAGATTAAACAACATTTTAGAATTGACTTTCAGTAACCCATGCGTGTCGTAAGAGGCGACTAACGGGATCGGGTGGTCAGGCTCGCTGGCTTGATTGGCACATGTCATCGGTTCCCAATTGCGCAGGCCGATGCTCATGCTGTTGATCACTGGATTGTCTGGTCCAGACTCAGTTATTTACAGACTGCCGCCATACAGCTTGAATGTTGCTGAGTGCGGCGTCAAACTAAACTCTCTCACTCACTCTTTCAATTCAAAGGAAATGCAAGATCATTTGTTATGCAGGTGGGTCCCTCGGCTGTCAGAGATTTAATTCAGTGGCACTTCCCATAATGACATGGCCCACTTACTAGTCGACTATCTTGGTGCGTTCAATGTGCAAATCACATACTCAGTGTGACTTGCATACTAGTATTTGCCTTTGTACAAACCTCATACTGTCCCTCCGGACATATATCATCAACGTTTCCACAGAAAGGTGACGACTGTGTTCCAATATGGCAAACAGGGTAGAGGAGGCAAAGGGATGTGGTTTTGACATACCGCTTGTTATGTACGAGGAACGAATCACTCAGGAACTAAGTCTCCCTCATGTTGTCACCATGAAGTCTCGTCGACTACGTAAGGACGACATATTTATAACATCCTATCCGAAATCAGGTACGGTACCATCAGCGTTACAGTTCATAGAACTGCATTCCTTGCTGCACTCCCGAAGGAGACATGTTCACAGAGAATGTATTTCAAGGAAGTATGCATACTCTACTAGATTGGTACATTCATATTCACTGTAATCGTAGTGTCTGTTTAATGTGTACGAGTTCCATAAATATGACAAACCCACTGTACCTGCATTGTCTGTTTAATATCTTAAATGAACATGTATAGTCAGTATATCTGTTCACTGGGCCCATTCTGTACCCCTATTGTCTGTTTAATGGCGTTAAGGTGTAGTCTATATATATATGTGTGTGTGTTCACTGGACACACACTGTACCCGTATTGTCTGTTTAATGGCGTTAAGGTAGAGTCTCTATATCTGTTCCCTGGACATACACTGTACCCCTATTGTCTGCTTAATGCCGTAAGGAACAGTCTATATATATGTTCACTGGACACACACTGTACACATACAAAACCTTTTCGCTGTTCTTGCACTGTCTGTTATAAGTTAACTTAACCTAGGTACACACTGGGTGTGGGAGATAGTCAACATGATTGTGGCCGGCAAAGCAGAGTATGCCAAACACTGGCAGAACCAGGCTTTCCTTGAGTTCAGAAGTGAGGCGGAACTGGATGAGATCCCGTCTCCCAGGATATTCTTCACCCATCTCCTACCTAGGTAATGAATATCCACACATGCACAATAATTGTAGTGTCTTATATACATGTACTGTGTAACTGGAAGTTTTGCTCTGTACTCATTCAGTGTAATTATTGCGTTCAGACTTGACATCCAATAATACTTGTATATGTTTCCCAAATGAACATTGGCGTCTTGGTAAAGAGCGTCACCGTGTCTTCATGAAGGTTGTCGTTTAATAACAGTATGTCTGCACTCTTTTCCTCCTGGGAAATCGGTGTGATCACATGTGGATCTTACATTAACAAAGCTTAAGAAATCTAAGAAACTTAAGAAGTCACTATCATTGGATCCAGAACGATATCTTCTAGATTACCAGGAAACAGCTCCATTTTCACAGGCTAAGCAAACGCCATTTTATCTGCTCTGAAACACGGTCTAAAAATACTCTTTAAAAAAGTAACGCAAAAGTGAAAAATTCCTTATAAATTTTGATATGTGGAAACTTAGTGTTACGAACGCTGGGTATGTTGTGTTATGGAGCTTACAACATTTTAATCGCAAGAATCGTTTGGAAATCGATGACTTTGTACACAGATGGGTAACTGTGAAAAATCGCAAAAACGCAACTGATGTCGTTTTGAGCCACTTACGCAAAGACATGGTATGCACGTGCAAAAGGCACAACAGGCACTATAAAAGTGCAGGGTTCTCGATTTTGCTTCTCAGCACAGATAATGCCAAGTCTGAACGAAGCTAAAAACTCTTCCGACTCACGCTCCCTTGATGACACCTGTTTAGCATGCTGCAAACGTTGGTTGTAACCGTCACTCACTTCATCAGACAGATGCCAAAAGAAGTGTGGGAAGGAAAGTGTCACGTGATCCACATTGACCGGAACCCCAAAGACGCCATTGTGTCTTTCTATGCACAGCATACAAACCAAAACTATCACAACAAGTCTAAACCTGCAGCATTCACAGGCACGTGGGATCAGTATGTCCATGCCCACGTCAAGGGAACTGGTGAGTCTTATCTGGTCTGGGTATGAATGTTCGAGTCCGTGGTAATTTCTAATGGGAATTGGTCCCATACAACCTCTGTCCCTCGTAAGAGTGGACATGGATCAGTCAGATAGGCACCAGGAGACAATACTGTAGTGCCATCGAACCAAACAAACAAACTAAACACACATCTTATGTTGATAAGCAAATGAAGAAACTTACAATTGTCATTCACCAATTAAAGATGCAATGTGTATCAATATCCACACATTCCCTGTGTTAATATCTGAATTTATAAGGTCACTGAAATCTGACACATTTCTGTTTTAGATTAAAATCAGACCAATGTTTTCACAATAGCGGTTTTCTTAACGTTTGTTTCCTTTCTTTCGTTAACGAATAATTTCGCTTTATTTGTTACCAAGTAGGTGGATAAATGTACCATTCATGTCGATGAGGTGTGTGATATCTCTATCCAAATCAGCATGTCCAGGCAAATAGACTACATCTTTGATATTTCCAGTCCCCTTCGACTCCATTTTGGAGCATGTCTTGGCATGGAGTAAGGTCCCTGAACTGCATCCGGCTGTGCCCTACTGTCAAGTTCATTACGAGGATCTAAAGAGGGTCAGATATATATTTCATACTTGCTTCTGTTTCACCAGTGTACACATATTGTATTGTATTTAATATCCTGCTGAGACACGTTCGTATCACACAAACTATTTTATTGTAATGTCGAACATGATTTAATCAATATTTCTTGCAATAAATGAATTCATCGGTAAACAGGCCTAGGCATTACGCCTATATGAATACCTCTCCTCTCGAACATTCATGTGCATCTGGTTGCATGACTATGTTAGTTGGTACAACCAATATATTATACATCATACACTTTAAATGTGTGTACATATATTCCCATGTTCCTCTACGAAATCTGTAAGTAATGGTTGTAGTACCGTCCTCGGTGTTCCTGTGGAATATAAGATATTCAATATTCTAGTCACAAATGGCACCATACACTCTAAGTCACTTATCGTCATGTATATGGTTCCTGTGTATATACTGTGTTACCTCAGATTGACCCCATAGTGTTCCATTGCCTATAAGAATGTATCAGACATGTAACGCACTGCAATTCTAGGACATTATGTGTCATTATATAGGTCTTCAGCACATTCGGCAACCTTCTTGAACTGCTGGGCAGACTTGATGATTGTGGGTCATCGTAACCTGGAGGCCTAGGATGTCACGCATAATATCAATCACTGGTTTGTCTCAAAAGTTGTTGTTTACAAGTCTCCATCATACAGACGAAATATAAAAACAGCAATTATACCGTCAAATACTTTGCATGAAGAAAGGAAATAATTATTGCATTACTCTACACAGGACGATGTGGCTCAAGTAAGGAGGCTGGCGGAGTTTCTAGTACGACCCCTAGAGGACAAGGTGTATGTGGAGATAGCCAAGGCATGCAGGTTTGAAAAACTGAAACATGCATCTGAAAATATAAAGGATCAAACGTTCCACAACAAGTGGAACAAGGGCTCGACGGGTTACTTCAGGAAAGGTAAAGGTGACCTGTTAATTCTAAATTCCGGTTATAACCATGTGAATGGGACCACTAATTGTTGTTGGTTATAACCATGTGAAAGGGACCACTAATTGTTGTCAGTTATAACCATGTGAAAGGGACCACTAATTGTTGTTGGTTATAACCATGTGAAAGGGACCACTAATTGTTGTTGGTTATAACCATGTGAAAAGGACCACTAATTGTTGGTTATAACCATGTGAAAGGGACCACTAATTGTTGTTGGTTATAACCATGTGAAAGGGACCACTAATTGTTGGTTATAACCATGTGAAAGGGACCACTAATTGTTGTTGGTTATAACCATGTGAAAGGGACCACTAATTGTTGTTGGTTATAACCATGTGAAAGGGGCCACTAATTGTTGTTGGTTATAACCTTAGTTCGTTATAAAATTCATAAATATGGATCAGACAGACGAAGAGAGCATGATAAAATATCATTGGTTTGTCAAGGCCATACAAAGGTGGAAAATGATTTTTCTTCTTAATATATTTGTTTTAAATTTACTTTCACTTTACAATGTTAACTTATTTTTTCCCATATTTATTTTAATAGTCTGAAACTTTTGAATGTTAATTTCAAGGCTCCCTATTCACAAAGTGTATGGTTCTGTATTTACAGGGGAGTCTGGTGACTGGAAGAACTGGTTCACGGTGGCGCAGAGTGAAACTTTTGACAGAGCATATGAAGGAACGTTTCAACGGAAGTTTCCATACTAAATTGTTTTTACTTTAGTCCTTTTTAAGAAGGAGAGATGCAGTATTTTCGAGAAAAAAAGTTTTTGTTAATGTGTCTAAGAACAATCCATCTGAATAGAGTCTATGTGGGTGCTATCCCCATTATAACACTGATTTTACTAAATATTGAAAAACCTCCAAGAACGGTTTAAGAATCGTGAAATAGAAATATCAGTTGACACAAAATAGTATTTAAGCTAAACAGAGAGCGGTACATCAGATATATACAAAATGTATATTATTAAGGTGTGGCAGTATGCTGACTGTTTCATAACCGGGTTTATTACACACCCGTGGGTGAGAAACCAATGTGAGAAAACTGGTATCAAACATTTGTGCGAGATTGATTTCCAAGCCCGTGATTGGCTACTCCATGGTGATGACTGAAGGTCAGAATATGATGGACTACTTTCTTGATTAAACTTGATTGAAGGGCTGCTTGTACGTCAGTCGAACGCAAACCTATTACTCGTGCCTTTATACCGACCTGTTATTTTCGCGGTTGGAAGTTAAACAGGTATTTATGCACTAAGACACACTTAGAATATATATAACAACACGAATGTATTTTTTTTCTAATACACTTTATTGTTTGCAACACTAGATTCTAAAGTACTCACAGAAATAGCAATAAAATGGTTTTTGACGTTTATTTCGTAGTTTTGAACACAAATAAAGTTGGATTGATTCTATCACTATATTGTTTCCCAACTTTTGTTTTTAACACATTTTGTAAAATCCTCCGAAAGAGCTAAGTTTATAGGAGAGCAAACCATTTCATGTTTACCCCTTGAAATTTCATCAAAGTCAAAATGTACGTTTCTGATGCAAGATACAGTATGTGTGGTTGTTTGGGATGTTTGGGGTAAAGTTTTAGTTCTATTGGGGTTGGGTTAACATGACATGGGTTTTTAGTGTGTTCCCGGCTATGCTGGTATGCATAGCCGCAACACACACGGCAGGTTGGTGTGTGCCTGGCATGTGCAGCACATGCACTGCCTGCCTCCAGCCCTATAAAGGGAGTAGCTTCACAACACTCCTTGTCTTTAACCCACTGGTTCACCAGAGGTGAGGACATTTACTTTGGTACTTGAGTCCTGGCAACGCTGACCAAGTAGATAGGCTTTTTTTTTGCTTTTTTTTATATTACTTGAACTTTGAACTCAAAGTGTGGAATGCCTTTTACATAGGGAATACATTTATCTATGGACATAGGCCCTGAAATTAGACCCATGTCTCACGGGCGGATCCAAAGGGAGGAAGAGGGAGAGGAAGAAAGAGAGAGAGTAAACGTTAGAGTTTATTAAGTAACTTTAGGGAAGTCAGGGAGATTGTGAATATCTTGAAATGTGAGAATTTTACTGTATTAAGTTGACGTTTCGTAAATAAATTAGTGAGTTTCTCTTTCCTCTTTGTCATGTTTTTACCAACAATGAGACCTGATTCATAGAACCTATACACTTAAAGTTGGCTACTTTACCATCATCACAACAATACACAACGCAAGTCCTATACCACACACTAGCCAACTGTCACTGGGCAGGGAAGCCTATTTCATATGCAAATGAGATGTACTCTCTATAGTGAGTGAGTGAGTATGGTTTTACGCCGTTTTTAGCAATATTCCAGCAATATCACGGCGGGGGACACCACAAATGAGCTTCACGCATAGTGCCCCGGGTGTTCGGCGTGACGAGCGAACGCTTTAACCACTAGGCTGCCCCGCCTGTACTCTCTCTATGTTCACGTACATAATATATTTTATGAAAAACGTCATATACCATTCATCTTTTATTTCTTTTATCCGAACTGATATACACAATAATTGATTTGGGGATTTTTCATGCCTGTGCTCTTGCTCAAAGTTTACTATTTTTATGAGTTCATTCATAGCTTTGATTGTCAACTGCACAATTACTATGGCAACGCACGCGCAAATGCATCTTCTAAACAGTGCTGCAGGTAGTTGCTACCACCCATTGTTGATTGTGACGTAAGTTGTTTTATAACATGTTTCTAAATTTGTTGATAATATGCATTCTACCATGGCTACGTGAAATGCTCGAATTCGATTGGTCAAGCCATAAAATCGGACGGTATCAATTTAGATTGAAAATGCGTATGATTTCACGGCGCTTCACTGCGCACGTATACAACACTGCCGCACTACTTCAGCTTGGCCACCAACATGACTAATATCAACACAACAGACGTGATGGAAATGCTGATGAAACATTTATTAAAACTCGAAAAATGCAATTATACGATTTCTCCTCCACAATTATTAGGGGACCTCACTATCATAATTATTACCTTCTATTATAAAAATATTCAAACTCAATTACAATACACAGCTCCAAACATAAACAAACAATATCTAACATATAAATCAGAAAACCTTGTAAAAATACATCCCTATGTATCCCTATTTGTGCGGCAAAACGTTCGTAAACATTTACCTACCTGGTAAATGGTATATTTGTTTCCGTTAAGAATGGGAAATTCGCGAGATAACGGTCAGGCGAAACACAAAATTTGCCACTCATACTCCATCATGTCCCGTTGCATCGTTCAAAATGTCAAAAACTGAACCATGAGAATTCAGTTCTCTGCCACCTTCCCCAAAGGCTGTCACTGCTATGTTCGTACACTTTGAAAGCTTGGCCACAATCTAGTCCCAAATGATGAGAACAATGTTCCAAGGAATCCCAAGTTACTCGCATGTACACAAAGCTGCACTGTCACTCTTCCTCGCGGGGTGGAGGCACGTACGTGAAATCATGATCGACACTCGCCGGTCATAAAAATCAACAGTCTTTGATGAGTTACAGGTTATAGGTCGATCAGAAAAAGATCTATTCTTCGATTCTGCGAGGTTAAGGTTCGACAGTCAGTCAAGTATTTTCCACTGTCACTTCGAATTTCAACCTTTCGCAAAATGTAAACACTGGCTCGTCCGCCATTTCAAACAGTTGCGTAACTGTCTACTTCCAAGAAAATAAGTAGGTCAGACGACTCCATTATACTGTGGCCAGGGGGGTACAGTAATACGGAACACAAAACAATAGGCTGGTTTCGGTCTTGTGCAGTTATGATTATAAAAACCAAGCTCTTAGGTGTTACATTATTGCATTGAATAAACAGTAGTTTGTTTTCTTTGGACAGGATATTTTTTATGTTGCAATGTTAAAAAAAATACGAACGGAACCTACCACTCCTTTATCAGACGAGTTCAATCATTCGCCTCTCATCCCATGCCGGATTACGCAGTGTCTTCCGCAGGACGAGGAAGTTCGATATTAAATCGGTTATGGTAGAATGGAGATAAACATAATGTGATTGGAAATTAGATGAATGTTAGACCGAATTGATAGTCTCTAAATTAATCATTTGAAACCTCATGCTACGCGTTCGGTTTCCAATAAAATTAAGAGACTACCAATTCGGTCTAACATTCATCTAATTTCCAAACACAGTACGTTTATCTCCTATGTTTTTTGGTTATTTTTACCTGTAAAATGGTATTTTGGGTGATGATTAGAGCACCAAATTAAAAGGCTTAGTATGGAAAAACATAGGTATTTTAATATTTGTTAAAACTACCTATTTTAATGAAGTAATAAACAAATAAACGCCCAAAACCATTTTATTTCTATTTCCGTGAGTACATAATTTATGAATTCAAAATGGCTTGAGCAATCAGTGATACTTGAGTAAACAATTAGGTTAATATCGCTGACGCAGTTCCCTTTGAACATACAAAATGTACATTATTGATACTTTTACTGGAGAAATACCATAAGTATCATATCGTCTTGCAAAAATACCTGAACGATAACGTCAGTTCCTGTCCTATTTGAGATCGATTTGCTTCGTAGGTTTCAATGATGAACTGATGGTGAGGACATTTGTCACTGATAAACATGATTCTTTCGATAAAGCTCCATACTAAGTGATTATTCCTATATTAACAAATTCACTCATGACAATTAGAACCAAAACACACTCGGTGAAACAATGTGCATTAAACATTTACAAGGGTTCATGGGTAAAAATGGCGACACAATCAATCCCACATCTACAGTACGGTACACTGCTTAAAGTATTCCTCCGACGCATAATATGCAGATTTTATGTCCAGGTAACATTCAGGGTGTAATCAACCCACATTTTATCCTCGCAACACCGTAACATCAGTAACATCCCAAGTGGGCTCCGGGAAAACAAGTAGGTTATCACTGCCATAAAAAAAATTAGCCCTTTCAAAATTAGTTCATATTTTCAGTTCATAGCCCAGTCCTCCAGATGACTTTATTAAATCCCTTGAAAAGATATTTTCAAATTCATTTGGAATTATAAAACTGATAAAATAAAAAAGAATCACAATGAAAAGATTAAAGACTGAAGGGGGGCTGGGTATGGTTGATATAAAAATATTTATTGAAGCTCTAAAATTATCCACTCTTAGACTCTACTGTCAAAAATCATCCGACAATAATCCTTGTAATATACCTTATAATGATATCTTCAAGTATGGAGCAAATATTGACAAAATACTCAACATTGAAAACCTTTATTGGAAAGATGTTTTAAAAGCATGGAACAATTATTGCAAAAAGTTCAATGCTGATTCTGACAGTATTGATTACATTCTTGCAGAACCATTATGGCTCAATCATAATTATAAAAACCCTTGCCATGTTATTATACACTGGGGGGATAAGGGCTTATTGACAGTAAAGGATTTATGTGATGAACATGGATTTATGCCTTTTTATAAGTTAAAGATAAAATACAAAATAAGAGGGACACTATTAGACTATAACTATCTACTTCACATCTTACCTGATATTTGGAAAAATGTTATCAAAAGGACAAGAATCATTCCTTCCTACAATTTATACATAAATGTTTACCAAAGAAATATGTTAAAGCTCTCCAAAGGTTCAAGAATATTTTATGACAAGCTGATTTCTAAAAATGATAAACTTGAAATTTGTACTAAATGGGAATTGATATTCAATGATTGTGAATTTGAATGGTACAAAAATTAACTTTTTTAGACATGGATTGAAAGACGTTAAACTTCTTGATTTTCAATACAGATTTTTGCAAAGAGTTATTTATGCTAAAAAAGAATTATCGAGAATGAACCTGATTGACAATGATTTGTGTAGTTTTTGCAATGATGTTTCTGAGAGCATTTGTTATGTTTATTGGGAATGTTGTGAAAGCATGAAATTTCTCGAATGATCTAGAACTCTGGATTAATAACTATTTACCACGAAAAATAAACATTACAAAATATTGGATTTGGTTTGGTACATTGCATAATAATGTATTACTAAATCAAATCATTGTCTTTGCCAAAAAACATATCAATGTATTTCATATAAAAACATCAATTCCAAAATTCAGTAATTATGAAAAGGTATTAAAAGAGATGTTTTCCGTAAAAAAATTATTTCAAAGAGAAACAATGAAATTGAGAAATTCAATCTTAAATGGAATTCACTCATCCCAATATTCAGCAACTAATTATTATTAGATCTTTACAGCAATGTATCTTCACCTTTTACTGTGTCTGTTGCAACCGTACACCTTTGTTGTTGACTTTGTAACCAATGGGTTCAAATAATGAAAAAAAAGGTTGTGGCGAAGAAGAGTAGTCCCTCCTCGATGGTCAACAGCAATGTCCCATTCAACTATTCGGGTTAGGGGAATATTGTAGGTAAACTTTTATACATGACTAGTGCAGCCACACATGTGCAATGATATCCAAATCCCCCGATGACGATAACTGTATTGAAACTCAATTGAAACAGTTGTAATGACGTCACACTCTCAATTATTTTATGCTTGCAAGAAGTAAAATTGTCTTTATGTACGTTGCAACATCGTAGTTTTAGCGTGTTTTATAAATATTCTATAATCCTGTCTAGTTTGCATGATCGTTTTCGCCTTGATGACACACACGTGTGGCAGAAACTTCTTAGTGGAGAGTCACCTTGGGGATGTGATAGGTAGCCGAATGACGCCACACATTCATAAATGGTGCGTTGTGTGTTATTGCGCCGCTGACAATAGTTCTGGTCTAATATCAGTAGAACATCGTTTGACACTTGCATTGTCATCGGCAGCCTTCTTATTGACTGAACTGGGAACCGGGTGGTCTGGGTCGTTGCCCAAGTGTTTTCGGTCTAGAATGAATATTGCTTACAAGCAGCGTTAACAACAATCAGTTACCTCTGTTGTAACCAAGGTTACCTCTGTTGTAACCAAGGAACTATGTATATAAAACCACATAGCTGATCGAATGAAAAATGCTTAGTATATGTCCCTTATTTCAAGCGTGATCTCCCTCACTACTGTCAACACTGGTGTTGGAGTACGATGGAGGTAACTTAACATATTATGAAGGCTGCTTTGGCTGTGATTCACAACGTTCATTTAACACCCATTACAATGATTGGTTACTCTATGGACCTTGGTGCTGTTGTACAGAGCGACCTTAGCGCTAAGATGACCGTAGCTCCAATACCTTAACATTGACTTCAGGTAGTCTTAGCACTAAGGTTGTTTTGTACAACGGCACCCTGACCATGGTACACACACTTTCACAATGGCGGAATGTACACATGGAGTCTCTCATCTTATGCTCCCACCAATATTCTTGATAACATACCCATACACAACAATAGGATCCACATCAGAGACAACGCAGACATCAACACATAAGCAAAGAACATATGTCCATATGTATCCATAAGTATTCCACAGAGGTATACTATAATTAATGTCCCAACTCTATCGCCAAAACAGCACAAACACATAACAAAGGGAGGGAACTCAACAACCTGTCGACCCCATTCTGCTGAACAATTAAAGTAATATCCTGACATGGCACCAAAAGCTATGGAGGTGATCCATAATCCAATGATTGAGTTTACTGCCCATAAACATAATAAAACCAGCGTCACAGTGAGGCCAGATATCCCTGCAAACATTATCTTCGCCTGACTCACCCATTTTGTTAGACACAACACTATGGATTTCCCAATTAGCATTGACAGCCAAAATATCCCGGTCATTTCTGATAGAGTCTGGACACTGAGATCAAGCCCTGTTTCCAATCCAAACGTCACCAGATATTGCCCAAAGGTCAGCCCTATGCTATAGGCAGGGGCGGAGTATATCACTATTACGGTGGTGAATATACAAGAATACAAGGTGTAGCTTCTAGGTGTCTCAGTTTCTGGTATAGGCTCGTGTGAAGAAACTTGCAATGCATATGGTTTACTTGGAAAAATATGCAAATATACAAATATTACACATGGTATGATGTTCAAAGAACCTAACAAGGCATAAGGGATTACCAGCTCAGTACTACGGCCTTTTCTTGTCGTATTACCGTCTATCAAAATGTTCTGAGACATGGAACCGTTTTCTACAGTGAGATCAGTGTCATTGGAATACATTGTAAGGTTCCAAGAATGGTCCCACGTTGTAGGGATGTGTTTGTTATGGCTACCACTATCGGTGGCGTTAAGCACTGGCGGGAGTAACCTCGAATCACCAAGAAATGGCACAACGAGGAAAGGAGATATAATACCCCCAACGGCAAAACCTAAACCCAACACATGAAAGCAGGTAGGACTGGAGGGCCACAACGCGTGCATCTGACAATATCCACCTGAAAACAAAATAGTATTTCATTACATGATGTTTATGTCTCATTATACGATTTCAAGTTTCTGCTCGATAATATTCCAAATTTATGACACATTCAGTGAGTGTGAATGAGTTTAGTTTTACGCCGCACTCAGCAATATTCTACCTATATGGTGGCGGTCTGTAATAATCGAGTCTGGACCAGACAATCCAGTGATCAACAGCATGAGCATCGATCTGAAGATCAATATTCTAACCCGGACCTTCACGGGTCTATGACGTATTAAGGGTACACTTAGCATAAAGTTGAACGCTACAGTATCAGAGAGTTTATATTTGCCTTGAACTCTTGTTACCCTTTCATATACAGGATTTGCTTTAAATAGATCCAGATCAGGTGGGAACATATGTCAATCAATGAAAATTAGGTTCTTGATACTGTTACTTGCCTTAAGAACGAAACTCAGCTCCATTAACAGGAAAGTGTGACAAGATGTCTATCTTATGGAAATTAGGTTGTGTTTTGTGTTTTTCACACTGCTGTTTGCCCTAAGACAGATCAACGGAACTCAGTCCCATTACCAGGAAGGTGTGACGAGATGGCAATCTTATTGAAATTAGGTTGTGTTTTGATACTGTTACACAGGAAGGTGGGAACAGACATGGAAATTTGTCACTGGGCTACGGTTGCCTCAGTGCTGTATGTTCACCTACCCGTTGATAGCACTGCCAGAGATGCGCCTAGGACGAACACATCGCACAGGAGAAGCACATATGAACCAGCTATTGGTACTAAGGTCAGCGTGACCGAACTGATGAACAAGCATACAGATATGGCAGCCTTGGCTTGGTGTCTGGAGAAGATGTAAGTTGCACCCATTGCTCCCACGAGGGTTCCGAGATACAGGACGAGCATCATGACACTGATCTGAGACAGAGACATGTGGTAGATCATCTGGAGGTCGGGGAAGGAGGGTCCGAGGATTGACATTGACATAACCTGTAATATGAAAATGATGTCATCACAGATAGGTCTCATTTGAATTTCCAGTTGTACAGTACTGTTGTTGAAGTACATGGTTTAGTCGATTGTTCCTGATCTGGTGTTGCGTAACATGGAGATCTTTTACAGGAGTATGAAGAATAGTGTCTTCAGGGCAAATTCACCCCAAACTACATACAACATACAATTAGATAACAAAACACATTCAGGATGGATAACTTAATCATTCACCTATGATGCAACAATAAACCTTTATAATTTTGTATTTACGCGCGCGCGTGTGTGGGTGCGTGTGTGTGTGATTGGTTTCTGTATGTGTATGTATAGGTACTACTCAAACTTTTTCCCAAAAAGACCCCATTTGCATTATATAAGAACGCCCTGCACCCCATTTGCATTATGAACGCCTGCACCCCATTTGCATTATGAACGCCCTGCACCCAATTTGCATTATATAAGAACGCCCTGCACCCCATTTGCATTATATAAGAACGCCCTGCACCCCATTGCATTATGAACGCCCTGCACACCATTTGCATTATGAACGCCCTGCATCCCATTTGCATTATGAACGCCCTGCACTTAGTGCACTACTGGCTAAGATGAGCTCCTGGCTAGCTATTCTCGAAACGCTCATAGCCCTACGAACTTCTTAAGCCCATTCTCAACACATTGGCTACGATCAAAGTTAAGAATTCTTAGGGCTACGAACGTTTCGAGAATAAGGGCGTTGGTGCTTTGAAACCTGTGTTTAGATGTGCCCAGCTGCCTAGCTACATGCAGGTGGTCAACGGCGTCCAACACATGTATGTATGTGTTTATGCACCAACTATGGAACAGCTGCAGACAATAAGAGGGTGATATCCTGAACGCAAACTATGTCAACAGACGCATTTCCTGTCGTGTCTGTATATTTTGGATAGGAATGTTGGATTGGTTCATTTGGAAATATGGTTATGTTTCTCTTTAGACATTCAGGGGCAATTCTCAAGCAATTACATTTTCTGTTTCCCGGACAGCATGTCAGCTGAGCTATGTATGGTGAATGTTCATGTTGGCATAATGATTTTACTTGTGTATCAAATAAGGATTGTTCAGTTGTTGACTATGTTATTGTACCGCATGAGCAATTGAATGATGCTGCTGATTTTAAAGTTCATCTTATGTCATGACTCAAACAAAACAACAGGACTGTGAAAACGTTCCGGATCAATCTGTAATTGTGACAACTCTCAAATTGCTCTCGGACAGAGCATGGATGGGTGACCGTGTTTGGCAGCTTGACTCCTGAGAGTTTTTAGGACTTTAAAGTCATGTGACTATAACCTTTTAGCGCCTAACAGGCAGCTTGGGTTCTCCGGGGTAATAATCATCAGATTTTGATTACAGCGTCCAGTGAGCAACTAGTCAGATAGATACTAGGCGCTACATAAATGAATTATTATTATCATTATTATTAAGTCTCAGCGAGGAGCCAGAAAGAGCGTATCTACATCCTAAACAGCGGAAAAAATATGATGTTCGAAGCCTACCCATAACTTCTTCCGGATTACAACGCTCTTTAGATGATCGAATGGGGTGATGGGGTAGGCTAGTGGTTAATGCGTTCGCTCGTCACTCTGAAGACCCGGGTTCGATTCCCCACATGGGTACAATGTGTGAAGTCCATTTCTGTTGCCCCCGCCGTGATATTTTTGGAATATTGCTCAAAGCGGCGTAAACCTAACTTACTCAGATGATCACAGAGACAATTAATGTGATGTGAGCCAGGCCTATCAACATTTTACAATTTTTTTAAATAATGAAATGACCAAAAAGAACCTCCTTTGTAAAACTGTTTTACGGGAAAACTAAAATATAATTTAAAAAAACATAAATGTCGATACCAACCATACTGGACTCACGAGTTACAGCAAGATTGGAACAGTGTTGTAGCGGGGGTTAATAGGCCTCTTCACACATTGTACCCATGTGGGGAATCGAACTCGGGTCTTCGGTGTGACGAGCTGACGCTTCAATCGCTAGGCAACTCTACCGCCCGTGCCGACAGTGGATTGCTCTTCATTGAACAGACCAATCACGATTGGAGAAATTGAGAAAGCTGTCTTCCGAATGAAAATTGGAAATATACAGGCCCGGACAATATACCGTGTGAAATATTACGCAATACAACGTACATTGAGAATACTACACGAGGTCTCATTGCATACGAATTATACGAAACGAGTGTCCTTCCTATGGTATCTGACCGAGCGAAAGTGAGGTTAGATAACATAGGAAGGTCACGAGTTTCGTATTCGTATGTAATGAGACCGAGTGTGGTATTTTATTTATTACCCACGTCTTACATGCATTAAACTGACAAAATAGCGTATTTTTGTTAATATTTTGGTTTCAAACCGAAACCGGTTTCATAAAGAGGTTGCGGAAGAGTTTTGTACTGTAGTACAATATTTGCATGACGTCACTGTAATGACGTCACTGCCTTGGTAACCGACGTCACGATGCATGTCAGTTGTCATCGCCTCGTACAGCCTCCTACAGTAAACTACTCCGTAGCACCCCGTTTCTTGGTTTGCAGTTGCTTCATTCGGCTAACATCACTGGTGGAAACATTGCGTTTATGTTTTTCGACGGATATAATGTCTCAGTTCGGCTCACAATTAAACAGCGACATGGCAACGTTCGCGATGTTTACATTCCCACAATGCATTTAAGTTGTAGAATGAATGGATTCACGTGTTTGTTATGAATGAAAAAATAGTTACGTCAGAATGTGACCTAATTGAGAGGTCATCGGTTATCCAATCAAATCGTTAGAATCTCAGGTCAAGTCGTTACGACACAGGTCAACGCGATACGACACTCGTGTGACGTACGGGATTAGTATGCAACTACCCATACGTTGACCACGTGGGTAATAAATTCAGTTACTTCACCGCATAATCAGTTTTTGTTTCGAAAACAGTGTACGCGCGGCCGCATGGCGCATGGGCGTCATAACACCCATACCAAATTACGGAAATGACCCTCGGAACCCGCTTGCTTACAGAGGTATAACGCTGACTGATGATATCTGTACCCTGCAAGGTACTACACCGATATCCTGAATGTCCGAATTTCAAGCATGGTTGGAGTGAGTGAATTATTGCCTATTTTTCAGTCGGGGCGCGACTGGTATGTTCCACTGATACACGTGCTCTTACCCCACCTAAAATACCCCGACTATATTGGAAAGACTAATGTGAGTTACTTTCGCGTACAATCAAGAGGAAGAAGCAGGTTCAGGTTTATTAATCTTCATCCTTGATGTTTTGTCTTCTACTGTTGATGTGATTTCCCCATCAGAATAAAACATCATTCCAAAAGTCATTGGTTCGCTTCGTCAGTACATTTTCCTTGATATATTGTCCACATTCTGATACAAAATTCATATAGTTTGTTTCAATGTTATTATAAAACAATGTTATAAGTTTGGAATCGTTTTTGAATTGTTTTAACAACCTCTTAATCCATGTAATATATTGATCTTTGATTGTATTTTCTATGTTTGGAACTCTCAGTCCCCTTTTCGATTGATTTGCGAGGAATTTTCTACTTATCTTATCTGGTTTATTTTGCCAAATATATTTAAAGAATTCTTAATGAAATTCTCTTATAAAGTTTTATTTGGATTAGGGAGAGATAAAAATAGACAAGACTGTCAAGTACACTGCTACCGATACCTTGGTATATGGTTAAACGAACACTTAGATATGAGGAAAACTGTCAAGTACACTGCTACCGATACCTTGGTATATGGTTAAACGAACACTTAGATATGAGGAAAACTGTCAAGTACACTGCTACCGATACCTTGGTATATGGTTAAACGAACACTTAGATATGAGGAAAACTAGTGAGACTTTCTTCCCTTTATACCAAGTTTAACAGAGCTGGAGGGATGTCATTTGATGTATATACCAAGTTTACAGATGTCTTGTAGAGCCAGTACTATTTTACGCAGCCGGAATCTGGGGAATCTACACGTACAGAGAGGCCCAGACAGTACAGAATAGAGCATGCAAGTACTTCCTGGGTACCGGACAGAATGCCAGTAGCAACACGAGGAGATATGTCCTGCGCAGTTACTCAATGCACAGAGGTTTGCTGACTCCTGCAAGACTTAACAAGATGGACAGTGACAGAATCGTTCGTATGATACACGAGTTGGGAAAAACTCTGCCAAGATCATGGGAGAAAAGAGTGTTCAAGCTGTTGGAAAACCACGATGCTACCACTATACCTGACACAGATATTTCAAGTAAGAGGAAAATAAATGCTTTTAAGGACATTTTTACTTAATGTCAACGACTGGACACATGGACTATGGAACGACCACAATAAACCAAACGGGAACAGGCTCCGAACCTACAGAAGGTTCAAGACAGAACCAACATCAAGCTGCTACGTTTAGACAGTAAAATGTCGATATCAACGACGAATTTTATTTAGGTTCACTTGTGGTAACCTCCTCTCAGCAAATGATACAAGAAGATACTCCAAGCCTCCTACCCCACTGAACGGCAGAATAAGCCAGTTTTGTGCAGAACCAAGACATGCAATAGAAGATGAAACCCAAATTCTTATTGATTGTCACTTCTACTCGGATTTGAGATACAAGTTATTTTTAGCGGCTGAACGTGCAATCCCAGGTTTTATCTATCTGGGCAGTGTTTCGAAACTTATATATATTTACAACCATAACCATTTACAACCAGGTTTAGCTTTTATTCTTCTACAATTGTTCAAAAGGAGGACGTCTCATGCTATTTGTAACTTCTATGCTCTATACCCTGCATATTCATTCTATATTACTGTCATGGCTTACACCATGTATTATGTGGCTCAGGAGCCAATCTACTCTCACATTGTGTTTTACATTGTACCATAATGAGTTGTATGCATGACACATTACACAGGACCAAAAGAAGGATAGTACACCTTTGAAATAAACA